CTTCCGCGGCTCCCTCTACCTCTCTGACGCCACCATGGCTGCAGCCATGATGAGGGCACAGAGGGCCTCCCTGTTCGGGCACCGTGGCAAGCCCAAGCCCTGTGCATTTACTCCTCCCAGTGCGCATCACCGTCGGCGCCCAGAGCGGAGAAGCGTCTGGCCGACGCCGCCCTGCAAGTAAACACCAGAGGCAGGATTTGAACCCAGGATCAGGCCGGTGCAGGTGGGCCCGTGAGCAGGCAGGAGCAGGGCAGAGTGAGGCGGGCCATGGTGGGGGGTAAACAGGGCACTGGGGGTGCCCAGAGGCGGGCTCCGGGCCCCAAGAGGGGCTGTGAGGCCCCACAGACACACTGTGCAAAGGAGGGACCAGCCGAGGCCGCTTTACACGCTGAGTCCAGGGGCTCCGTGTACCCCCGGGCTGGGGATACCAAGTCTTGCCCATGGCTCTTCAGGGCCGGCGGGAAAGTGAAGCTGAGAAGGACGTGCACACCGCGGCTCCAGGTGGCCAGAGCAGCGTCTGGGTGGGGCTGCACAGGTGAGGTGGGCAGAGACCAATCACCAGGGAAGGCTTGCGGGGGAGGGGCCTGTGCGCCTTCTCCGGGCACCTGCCGGGGCATGGGGGGACCACCTTTGCACACGGTCGGGTTGCTTGGGCTGCTTGAGGCTTACAACCAGGGAAGATGGATGAGGAAGCTGAGCCAGAGAACTGGGGTTCTGAAGGGGGCCAAGGTGTGGGCTGCGAAGACCTGGAAGAGGTGGTGTGGGTGGCCCCCATTCCAGGCTCAGCGAGGGGTGGGCCCGAGAGGTGTCAGGAAATGACCAGGTGGTAGGCTGGGGGCACAGTGGATCCCCGCAGGGGGCAGGAGGGAGGAGAGGCAGGACTGGGGGTGTCTGAGGGTGGAGGCGCTGAGATTAGTTCAGGCAGTGGCGTCAGATGAACAGGACGGACACCTCCCAGAGAGAAGGCCCAGGCCTGGACATGTGGGCCTGGAGGTCAAGAACAAGGTCTGAGCAGGAAATGCGGCTGCTGGCCGCATCGGGACAGGCGGTGGCTAACCCAGGGAGGCCAGAGAGCTCACACTAGCACGCTGAGAAGAGCAGAATCAGAACTGTATGCAACGGAGCCTAGCTTCTTACAGTCAAAAGAGAAACACCAGATCGTAAACAGTGGTTTTTGGAAAGCTGGGCTCATGGGAGTTTTTATTTCCTGCCTCACCGTTTTCTGTTTATTCAAAAATTTCCCGGTAAGCATAATTTCATTCCCAAACCAGAACTATTTCCAGGCGTAGACACTTCACTCACTAACCCCGTGACCAAACCATCAGAGCCCTACTGGCAGAGGGGGTGCCCCCTCCTGAGCCCCCAAACCCTCCCCTTAGGGTGCTTACCACACACTGGTGTGAATGTTTAACTGTGGGAGAGAGTGAGTCTCCGCCAGCCTGGTGCCCACAGCTCCCACCCACGTGGCTGGCAAATGTCAGTGGCATGAATGGAAAATAAAATAAGACTTAGAAGGTCAAGCAGACCCTGAGTGACCCACGGGCAGGCAAGGCCTCGGGACCCCAGGGCCCCTGACGCGCCCTGGCCAGGATCACAGCAGCTGCTGGCTTGCTCTTTAGGGAGCTCACAAATGCTTGGCAAAACACCAACACGTAAACAGATGAGCTCATTAAAAAGTAATGCACTTTTACAGGGAACAACTTGGAGAGAGAGGCTCCAGCTTTGCAAGCACGTACCTGCCGGCCAGCACAGCGCTCTCCGTGTTTGTGTACAGACATCACAGCCCACACGGCAAGTGACCTCGCAGCAAGGACATCTGCTCACGGGCCGCAGACCACTGTCATCATGGAGACCAGCTAAACACACTGGGATGCAGCTGTGGCCGTGACTGGAACAGCCGTGAGTACCGGGAAGAAAGGCGCTCCAGGCGCCTTCCTTGGAGAGGCTAGAGGGGTGAGGGATGAGGGCAGAGCAGCCAGCGCTCAAGGAACGTCGTTTCGCTCAATGTCATTTTATTAGAACCTTGATGATGAGGGGAAAAAACATGATCCCCGGCACAGTCTCCACAACTTCTCCCGAGTCCACACGGCTTGGCTCCAGGGACTCTGGCCTCCTCCCACATCCCAAAGGTGTTGTGAGGCAGGTTTGCATCTCGGTTGCCCCAGTCTGAGTGTGGGCATGGAGGTGCCCCTGGCACGGGAGGGGTCCCAGCCGGTGTCGGCACCTGCCTGTGCCCTGAGCTGCTGGGTTGGGCTTAGCTGCCTGGACTTGGGGCTGGAGTAACTGGGCTGGAAATTGAGTACTGTAAATACTAAAGGATTCATACCTACATGCTTCGTAATAAAAATGCTGGCAGACAAAGAGAAAAAATGGAAGGAGTAAGAGGAAAATGTTATAGCACATACCAGGCAACTTCATGAGAATGTAGCTAACTGCTCATCCCAAACAATGGCGGCCAGAGGCGGTGGCATGGTCATCCAAAGTGACGAAAGGAAAAATGTAACTGTCAGCCCAGAATCCCAGACGACCCGGACATTCTCAGTTAAAACAAGAATCTGTTGCCAGCAATCCATCTTGTAAAAATGTACCTGCCAGATTGCAAAGAAAGATACACAACTATCTCTGTTCACAGATGGTGCAATCTCGGATGAGAAAGGCCCTTTGGAATCCACTGAAAAGCTATCTGAACTAAGAACTGAGTTCGGTCAAGCCGAAGGTGCAAGATCAACATGTAAAAATCAACAGCATCTCTGTACATTTGCGATGAGCAATCTGAAATTAAACTTCATGTCCAAGGTCAACTGACACACCAAGGTGCCAACACAATTCAGCGTGTTGTTTGGGACGGTGACAAGCTGGATTCTTGACATCCCACTGGCGGGAACTTACTTGAGAAAGAAAAGGCTGAGCTCAGCATGACCGCTTGGTGGGCCATGAGAATCGAAAATTCACGTCCACATCAAACCTCATACATAAATGTTCACAGCAGCATTGCACAGAACTGCCAAAAAGCAGACGCTGTTCACGTTCCTTCAACTAACCAATAGATGGAGAAAATCGGCATGCCGGACCATCGACCGTCATTTGGGACTAAAATGGAAGACGTTCTGGTGCCCATCCCAAGAGGGAGCCCTGAACCCGCAGCAGTGCGTGAGAGAAGCCAGACACGGAGACACTAAACTGCGTGGCTCCAGCTGCGTGGATGTGCAGAAGAAACAGCATGTAGGCTAGCGATGGTCTGGGCCAGAGCCGGTGGGGAAGGGGTGTTCGAGGACCAGGCGGGGAACGATACTGATGAGATAGTCTAACACTGACGCGGGGACGGTCGTTGACAAACCTAATGACAGCTGCCAATTAAAGCAGCGCCCCACACCTTGCGAATGGTCCGCTCCAAAAGCAAACAAGTGCCGGGGAGGATGTGGAGGTAAAGGCACCCCATTACACTGTGGGGGTGCATCTGCGCGTGAGCAGGAGCAGCCATGCTGCGAAGCACTGGGATTGCCTTCACAGGGTGAGCGTGGCAATGCGTCAGACCCAGCGACTGGCTCCGTCGTGCGTCCGACTGTGCAGCCGTCAACACGAACCCCTGTGTCCGTCGTGTTCACAGCAGCCTGGAAGTGGGAGCAGCCCCAGATCCCGGCAGGGTGACTGGACTGTGGGAGGCACACGCCACGGATAACAGAGAAGGAAAGGCAGCCCTGTTCAACAAAGTGGAGGGGGTGAGGGAGAGTGATGTGGCGAAGCAAGCGAGAATGGTTTTAAAAACTGCTGGACACTTACACAGATGACTCAATAATGGGAACACAAGCCAGAGCACGTCCATAGCCTGAGGCAGAGCCTGGGCCCCGAAAGCCTGGCAGTGCCCGGGTCAGCTGCACCGCGCTGTGGAAATCCAAGCTCCAGCGTCTCGGCCCTGCCCACCCCCCAGAGCCTCGCCCCTCTGCCCCCTCCAGGCACTCACAGCATTCTCTGAGCCCCTGGGTTCAGCCTTAGCTGCTCGGCCAAGTACCTGACACTCCCCTTGGGCAGGAAGCCAACGAAACCCACCACTTCTGCACTAGGAGCAGAGAGAAGTCTGCACAGAGACTTGCCCTGTCAGGCAGGTGGCGGGAGGAGGCGGCCGTGAGCAGGTGTGGGCCGGTGAGCAGGTGCTGTCTCTTCCCGCTGTTCCAAAACCACCGTCCCCGTGCAATGAAGTCTGCCTGGGCAGGCCCAGGGGGCACGAGGGAAATAAAACACCATGAAGGCAGGCCCTACTTGGGGCAGCTTCATGTCTCAGAACCGGAGACATTCCCCTGGGGATGAGGTGGGTTCAAGTTCTGTGGAAACTTTAGCAGGGCAGGAGGATGGCGGGAGGGACGTGTGCCCGGGCCGAAGGCAACAGTCGCCAAGAGCTTCAGCACACAACCCTGGGTGCGGTTTTCTATTTTTTTTTTTTTTAAGATTTATTTATTTATGCACACAAGAACTGGGGGGTCAGGCCAGAGGTGCAGGGGTGAGAGAATTCACCAGCGACAGAGCGGGGAGCAGAACAGGCCGACTGACGAAATCCACTGCTGAGGGGAGCAGCGGGCGGGTCAGGAGAGGTCTGCTGGGCCCTGTGGGTCACCTCCCTGGCTGGGACCGAACTCTGCTGCAGGGCTGCAAGAGCTCAGTGCTGTGTTTTAACCCGCTGGCCACCAGGGAGGCCCTCTAGAGTCTTTTCTGGTAAAACGGAACTATTTTTTTT